TGGGAGGATGGCTGCAAATCCCTGCCTGGCTTTGCCTGCAGCAGGTGCCAGGGAGACCCCATCCTGTGGATCCAGCAGGATATTTGTCCCCAAGACAGTCACATGCTGCCAGGGCAGCACAGTGGGGTGTGTAGTGGCTGCGGGAGTAAGTAATTCAAGATCAGAATTCCACAGGGAGTGTTTCCCTGGAATGGCTCAGACATTTGGATGTGCCTCTTGCTTTGAGCATGTTTAAAGCCAGCTATGAGAGGGAATGCTGCAGAGCAGACCTTGATATGTGCCCTTCCCTGGTGCTGGAGCTGAGCTTTACCACCCTGAAAGCCATCCCAGTTTGGCCAAGTAGGTGCCTGGGGAAGCCAGAGCTTTTTGCTTGTTTGGCTTTGTTTGCTTGTGTGTGGTGAAGGCTTGCTCAGCGCAAGGCAGCTAAATCCTCTGCAGGCTGCTCTGTCCCAAGCCAGGCAAGACCCCCTCATCCCAGTTCTGGCTGCAGGGCTCATCCTGCCTCCGCTCCAGCTCTACATGCCCCAAACCACTGGCACTCTTGGCAGTGCTCAGAAGTTTGGGGTCTGTATTGTCTGTTTCCCAGGGGAAGCCCCACAGCCCCTGCAGAGGAGGGGAAGGTGAGTGAGGAATATTTGCACGGGGTGGATGTCGCCACGTGGTGCCTGTGGGACCTGCCAACAGCAAAAATGCCTGGGGTCTGCTTGTCCCCAAGGGCAGGCAGGCATGGGACTGTCAATGTCAGCTCTTGGTGGCTTCAGAGACAAGAGCTGGACTGATGGAAGAAGCCTGGGAGCTGGAAGGAGAGGCAGAGGAGGACCAAAAGGATGAAGGAGGGGATGGTACCAGTGCAAAAGGGGAAGCAATGGCTGGACAGGCTGTGCTGCTCAGGAACCCTGTTGAGATGAGGGTATGAGCCTGTGCGCAGGTCAGGTTGTGATAGTTGTGGGTGCCATGCATTGGAGCAAGGAGATGATGCTGTGCCTGGTCTGTGCCTGTTGGTGCCATGCTTATTGCTGGCACTGGACCTGGTCATCCACATGCCTGGGGATGTATTCTCCAGCTCCCCACCTGCTCTTGTAGCAATGTCTTGGGTCCCACCCAAGCCCTCCTCACTCCTAGGACCACCTTTCTACTGTAATAAGGAGCAAACTGCTGGGATTTCCCAGGAAAGGAGTGGCTGTGCTGGATGCAGCAACTCTGTGGTCCTCTCCTCCAAGTCCCAAGGCTTGAACCCCTTGAGCAGCGCAGTGATGTGGACAAGCATGCCACGTGCCATGCCCTGCCATGTGCCATCCCTCTCCGTGCACCAAGCCACTGTAGCATGCGGGGTTCTCCAGCATCTCACTGATGCTGAGCATCCTCTTCACAGTCCCTGTGTGTCCCTGCTTGTGAGTAAGCCTGGCTCCTGGCTCAGAGCCTGCAATGCCAGGGGAAGGTGACAATCTCCACAGTGACTGTGTCCAGTGGCCATGGGATGTGGGTTTCTGTAGTGTAGTGGTTATCACGTTCACCTGACACGTGGAAGGTCCCTGGTTCAAAACCAGGCAGAAACATGGTGATTTTTTCCTATTTTGCATTCAGCTATGAAGCCGAGGAGGGGATTGCAGCTGCAGGAGATGAGCAGCATCCTCTGACGGTGGCAGTGGTCACCTTGGTCTTGAGTTGGAATAGGAAGCCAACCAATAGCTGCTGCAGGGCTTCCTATTCCAACTCAAGACTGAGGTGGTTGTCCTGCATCCCTGGGAGGGAGCAAGTTCCCCAGCAAGAAGCAGCAGGAGCACACAAGAGGCTTTGCAGGTCCTCCTAAACTGTCAGATCAGAGGAAAGGCAGCCAGGAACTACCCATTACCCTCACAACAAAGACCTACGATAAAGCTCTTATGAGCGTGTCTGGGAGGAGCTGGGAATATGTGAAAGAAAGCACCAGCGAGTCCAGGCATGTGCAAAACCCGGGTGTCTGTGAGACGGGGAAGGACCTGGCCAGGGTAGGGGTGCATGGAGGAGATCCAATGGCAGAAGTGTGGGGCCGAGGCTTAGATGGGTCCTTCTTGGGTCTCCTGGCTGTGGCAGTGTCCTGTTCCCCCTGTGCTGCCCATGCAGAAGGGAAAACAAGCTGTCCTTGGGCAGGGATGGATGGGTGCTGCGGTGCTGGGGCTCAGGATGCTAAGTGGTGATGGCTTGGGTGATGGAGATGGCACACACACACTGCCTTCTCCAGCCCCTGTTGTGACCAGCCATAGCCCCCAGTGAGCTCCTGTCCAGCTGTCACGACACTGTCCCCTCCATCCTGGTGATGACCATCCCAGCCACAGCCCTATGTGTAGATTTTCCCTGGTCCAGCCAAGGGAGCAGAGAGGGGATGTGGGAAAGGATAGGGTCCCGGTGCCAGCATGTTCCCACAGATGGTGGCAAGGATGGTGATGAGCAGCTGGTGCTCCTGGCTGGCACACCCAGGGCACGGCAGAGATGCTGGGCAGCTCATTACCTGTGAGGTGGAGGCTGTTCCCGGCAGAAGACAGGACTCTCAGCAGGATGAAAGCCAAACTCCAGCCCAGCCCAGACCTCTGTGCTCTGTGCCCCGAGCTCCAGGCTGGTTTCTCTGACCTGTCTTCATTACCATAACTGCTTAGCAACGAGGAGATTTACTCAAAAACAAGAAAACAAGGAGTAAAAACTACCCACCCTTACCAAAACAAGGCACTCCTCACACACAGGTCCCCCCCAGGGAGGGGGCAGGAACAAGCAGCAGGTGCTGAAGCTGGGTGGCTGGGCAGGGCTGGCATCATGGGATGGGACCTTGTGCAGGGCCACGTGTCCCCGGGGCTCTCCCCAGAGAGTGGCCCTCTGTGGGGGGATCTGCCTGCGACAGTCTTTGCAAGCCCCAGCCCGGCTCCCAGCAGGGCTTGGGTGTCCCCATGGGAAGGGGACTTGCTGGAGCCTGCGTGAGCGTGTGTGCACAGGGGCATGTGACACAGCAGAGAATCTCTGTTGGGACAGAGCAGAGGACAATATGAACTGCCTCTTTCCAGGCTGCGCAGGGATGTGTGGGCACTCTGTGCCCATGGGGATTGCTGGGCATGAGCGGTTTCCCTTGGCACGGCCACAGCAGCATCCCTTGCAGGGATGGGGGATCTAGGGGGATCCCAGCCCACAGCCTGGGTGCTCAGCAGCATTGCCCAAAGAGCCCAAGGTCCTCCTTGCCCCCTCACTGATCTCTGGCCTCTGCATGAGCCACGCTCCCCGGCCAGCCCAAACCACAGCCGCAGCCCTGTCCACGTACCCTGGCCCTCGTGGGTGATGGACATGTGGCACTGGCCTCACTGCGGCCTCCCCAAACCACAAGTCAGGTCTGTGAGCATCTCTAATCCCTGCTTGAAATTCGGGTGATGGTGGGAGGCAGCGCCTCAGCCCCCCGGCGCTGCACTCAGGGCTCCTGCAAGAAAGCAGGCAGGGGCAGAAAGCGGAGCTGCTCCCAGGGCTCCTGGAGCTGGGGCTTTACAGGGAAGGAAGGCGTCCTTCCCACTTGTCCCACTTGCAGTGCTTCTGGCTGTGTGAGGAACCCCTGCAGTGGGGGGATCCCAGTAGGGCTGCAAAGATTCATCCATGCTGGCTTTTAACTGGGGTCCATGGTCAGGCTGATGCTGTTGGAGCCAAGCAGAAGTGGAAGGTGAGATCCAGACTCCTTTTCCTCCCTGTGGTCAGGTAGCTCACCTTCTTTAGGTGACAATCCCTTGCTGGAGTGTAAAAGCCTGTTGGTACTGCCAGGATGGGAAGGGACAGGGTGTGGGACATGGGTGACACTGGGCAACAGCATGCAGCCTCGCTGGCTTTGCAGCTCCAGGGCTCTGATGGCTTCTCATGCCAGCCCTTGGTGCTCTCATAGTGCCAACCCACACAGAGCTCCATGGTGGCTTCTCCGGTCCCCAAAAAATGTCTCCTCCATGCTAACCCCTCTGTCCTTCTCTCCCTGTGCAGGTGGTGATGGACAACATGAGGAGGAAATGCAAATGCCACGGCACCTCAGGGAGCTGCCAGCTGAAGACGTGCTGGCAGGTGACACCCGAATTTCGCCTGGTGGGGTCCCTGCTCAAGGACCGTTTCTATGGGGCCACCCTCATCCGGCCCCACAACCGCAATGCCGGGCAACTAGAGCCAGGCCACGCT